GGGTCCGGGCTGGGGATTCGAACCCGCCACCTTAGGTGTACGTGGCTGGCGCCTTAGCCGGTTGAGCTATAGGCGCCGAGCCAGGTATTTATTTCTTAAGTAGAGATGGAGTAGGAAGTCACCTAAGTAACCGGCAAGCTCACTCTCTCACAGCCCACCCCAAATAATCTCAACTCTGGTTTGCATTCTAGAAATTCTACCACTGATTAATTCTCCAGGGGTCTTAGCTGACAGGAACTTAAGTCCTTTCCCCACAACAGATAAGTTTAGGAGGCCCTTTTGTCCCAGGACGGAGAAATGCAGTGTGAGTCTGTGGCCAAATTGTAAAATGGGATACTGGAAGGGATGTTTCATCCTCTGACCAAGACAATCTTCACCAGTTGAGCTAAGGGACCTGTAGAGTATTTGGTGTCTCTTAAAGAAGGAAATGTTTCTCTTGGATAGCTATAGATATATCTTCATATGGTACACTTGTAAAAGCCAATGGTATCCTTATGTCAAAGATATATGCCTCTATATGAAAGGAATGTGTTTTTTTTACCACAGGCCTTCTAAAATATTTTTGGAGTATTTTAGAATAACATTATATAAGACATTTATTTGTATTTTGATAATAAAATCTCAATTATTAGTTAGATTTCAATCAATAAATACAGTACTAATTTCCTTCCTGTGCATATCCACTTCACAGCTAGAAAAGAGCTGATTCATTTTGAACTACTTGTCTGGAAAAGCCATTGGCAGGCCTCAACCACAATGAGTTATCTAAGTAGAGCTAACGTAGATCACCGCGGGACTTAGGTAACGTGAGACTAAGAAAAAAGGAATCATTCATTAGGAAGTGTGAGAAAAGTCTTAGGGTTGATTTTGCTTAAATGCCAATGTGAATCGATCATTAGCATTTTCAAGAGCTGTGCAAATAACACCACCTAAGGGGCTAAAGCAACACGGAATTGTTTCAGAGCAATTAATTCACTTCCAAGCTTTTTGTATTAATACCATCTTATTTCCCCAGTGTACATAGATACTTTGTCTTTAAAAAAAAAAAAATCCCAAACTGATATTCTGCCAACAAGATTACAGGGGTGAAAGAACAACTCCCTAGTCAAATGCAAATTGTAGTCATATTAGCATGGTAATGAGCTAAGTGATAAACTGTGGGTCAAATTTCTCCTTCTTTAGCTGAAATAGCACTCGGAAAAAGGCTTATTTCTCATTTCTAAATGTTTGGAAAGCCTAGGAGTGGCAGCAGTTAAGGGTTATTTCGTGAACATTATCTGTTCAGCAATATGAAAAATAGATGAGACTAAACTGAAATGAGACGTAATTCTTCCTAATGACTTACAAGTTAAAGAGCTTAGAGGAAATATTTAATTATTCTAAATTCAGAGTGAAGTCTTTTTGAAACTTGGAATACTGCGATTTTTAAATTATAGGTCTGTTTTATCTAGTTGAAGGAAATTTAAGGAGGAGCCAAGTAGTAGAAAAAATCTTGAAAGAAGATAGGTTTCCCTGAGAAGGAAGCCGATAACATCTTTAGAGATGTCCCTGTCTCTTTCTTGACCACTTGTCAAAGAAAGGCTTTCCGACCGGACCTACTCCTGCCACCTGATTTCACCCCTACAGAGCAGCTTTGGGATTTTACAGAATTTTTCATATTCACTAGCTTTTATGTGCTCGTATTCATATAAGTTTCTTAATATTCCGAAGCATGTCTTATTGTGATTTGCTGCACCAACTCAGGCAGCTTCTGGCCCGCAGGTCAGGTGTGGTAGAGAGAGCCCCAAAATGGGGTCCCAAAGACCCCCTCTCTCTCTGTGTGCCCTCTACTCTCGGTGCCACTTCCATGAGCTTCCTTATCATGGGCAAATGACTGAATCTCCCTGGGCTTCAACTTAGACATTTGTAAGATGAAGGTGATAAAGCTTTAAGTCTGGGGCAATGGTCTCAGAGAATGACCTGAGCAACTTTAAGAAATCCTGGGGACTGGGTTCCATCCCAGAGCTTCTGAATTTGTTAATGTGGTATTACCAGGGCAGAATTTTAAAGCTCCTCAGGTGATTATATCCCATTAGCTGAGGCTGGGAACCAGTGTTCTAAGGGGTGTTATGAGAATAAAACAAACAAAAAAAGCAGCTGGTAAGGAATAGGAGGTCAAAAACATTTGTTTCCTTCTCTCTACCTTTAGTTTTCCTATTTGTATAGGTACATGTGTTTGATCCTAGTTGGAAGCTATGGAACAGAGGGAGAATTTTGTTCCATATTTTAAAACTTTCTATTTTGAAATAGTTTTAGACAAGGGGTTGGGCGCAGTAGCTCATGCCTGTAATCCTTGCACTCTGGGAGGCTGAGACAGGTGGATTACTTGAGCTCAGAAGTCCAGGACCAGACTGAACAAGAGTTCAAGCAGCCTGAGCAGGACCCCATCTCTATTAAAAATAGAAAAATTAGCCAAGAGTAGTGGCAGGCACCTGTAGTTTCAGCTACTTGGGAGGCTGAGGCAAGAGGATCCGCTTGAGCCCAGGAGTTTCAGGTTGCTGTAAGCTGTGATGATATCACAGCACTCAACCCAGGATGACAAAGTGAGACTCTGTCCGCCCCAAAATAAAGAAAGAATTTTAGACATAATAAAGTTGCCAAAACAGTACAAAGAATTCCCATACACACTTCATCTACATTCACCAATTTTAACGATTTACACATTTACTCTATCACTCCTCCACTTTCTATATATACATATGATTCTTTTTCCAAAACTAGTTGAGATGTAGTTATAGAAAACATGCCCCTTTGCCCCTAAATAGCATATATTTACTAAAAACAAAGGCATAACCTTAGTACAATTATTAAGAGAATTTTGCATTGATGCAATATTCTTATCCATTTTTTTTTTTGTAGAGATGGAGTCTTGCCACAAATATTTTATCTAGTCTGGTCTCAAACTCTTAGCCTCAAGCAATTTTCCCACCCTGACCTCCCAAAGTGCTAGAATTATAGGGATGAGCCACTATGCCT